CAATTTTCCTTCTATCATCCCTACTCATTGTCCAGCTCCCTGACACATACATTTAAAATAATAACTATTTCTATTTTGTCCTTTTTCTCTACTTTTTTGAGGGTTTGGTGTGCTGGTGTCTTAGTTTCTAGGGATATGTTTGTTTCATTGTTTTTTAGATTGTTTTTAACATACCCATTTACTGATATAAGTATCCTCAAAGAAAATTTAGGTGAATCCCAATTCCAATATGTTATTTAACAATTTTTAATAATACTTTCTAAAATCATTGTAATTTATTTTTGACCCATTATTCAGAAGCATATTGTTTGACTTAAAACATATAGACATTTTATTGTTTATTGGACTTTTTGTTGTTACTGGCTTTTTTGTACATTATTTCTGATTTTTATTTTGGTTATAAATTTCACTCCTTTAAAACTGCTCCAAGACCCAGCATAAGGCCAGTTTTGTTTAAAGTCCCATGTCCACTTGAAAAGACATTTTCATTTTGAAGACATGTCATTTTGAAATGTAAATCTCTTTCTCTGTGTCTCCTTGGCTTTCCTTCTTCCTTATTTGTGAATTCATGTGTGTGTGTGTGTGTGTGTGTGTGTGTGTATGTGTGAGAGAGAGAGAGAGAGAGACAGAGTTAGGTCAAATTTTTACAATTTGTTTAGATAATTTACCCTTAATAATATTTTGTCTGCTCATTAATTATTGAGAGAAGAGTGTGTTAAGTGGCATGACTGCTGTAGAATTGCCTAGGTTTCTTTTTATGTCAATTTTTAATTTCTATATTTTGAATTTATATTATTGGGTATATATGAATTTATAAAGAGTTATAGGATGCTCTAGTGGCATAATCCATAAGGCATTGCATTGCTAACCAAAAAGGCTGTGTATCTAGTGGTTCAAATCCAGTAACTTCTCTGAGAGAGAAAGATGGGCCGTCTTCTTCCTGCTGAAAACGCTAGAGGGTCTCTGTAAGAACCAATTTGATGGTAGTGTGAATTTGAGACAGAACTAATTATACTATCATCAATTAATTCTTTATCATTAAATGTCCATAGTTTGTCATGTTTACTTTTAGTGTAGCTACATCAGCTGCTTGAGTACAGTATGCATAGCCTTCTATGTCCT